TACCTTTGTTGTATCATTTATTCTACATTTCAGTTAAACCATCGGTGAAGATATCGGTAATGGCGTCAGGCGATGATTTATATCGACATAAACACTCCCTGATCTGTAACGTGTATGGCTTCTACCCTGTGGGCATAGAGGTGAAATGGTTCCGCAATGAGCAGGAGCAGACCACCCAGGTCAGTTATTCTGGGCCCCATCCGGATGGAGACTGGACCAATCAGCTCCTGGTAAACTTGGAGACAGAAATAGAAAAAGGGGACAAGTTCACCTGCGAGATTCATCACAGGAGCCTGGAGAGCCCACTCAGAGTAGAATGGAGTAAGTCTTCTCTATAGTTAGATTATGTTTTCAGTTAAATAAGGTTAAACCATTGGTAGGAATTTGTATTACCATCATATTCTGTAACAATTCTCAGATTAAACCCACTTGGAAATGTCAGTTTTATTCACTCTTAATATTGCAAACTTCTTGTCAAAATCTTAGTAAATGTATTGCTATTTTGTGATCGGCAAGGTGATTACATCTTTATTAAAGGATGAAATATATAGCAAAACGATAAACAATTTTTTTAAAAACATAAAATCAGACTACAAATTGTTGTGATATGCAGTATATGGACAGCAGAAACTAATCAAATTTAATGAAATCAGATTTTAAAAAAGTAAAGTTAAAAAACAAAAAAAAAAAACAAAAACAAAAAAAAACACAAAAACCAAAACAAACAAACTTTGCTTAAAGGAGACCATAGGCACAAATTTGGCACCAGTTTTTGATGCATTAAATAAATCATGCATTCCCTTTTTGAATAAAATTAGAGTTTACCTGTAATCCCACACTAAGGCCAAGTTCTCCCTGCAGACTGATCCTCCTTCCACTATGACAGACACCATTGAAAGCCATTAGCCAGCATGCTGTGTGTGCTTACAGATTTGTTTATGCAGAGAACTCTTTTTCCAGGCTACTAATGATGCTCCGGAGGTGGATTTACTCCTATGGCAGCAAAACGAACTACAGGTGATACTCAAAAAGTTAGAATATCGTGGAAAAGTTCATTTATTTCAGTAATGCAACATAAAAGGGAAAAATATATGAGCTAGACGCATTACATGCAAAGCAAGATAGTTCAAGCCGTGATTTGTCATAAGTGCGATGATTATGGCTTACAGCTCATGAAAACCCCAAATCACCAAAGAGAAGTATAATTGTGAAGGAAGTTTGATGTTTCCAAAGTGCTGTATCAAGGCACAATAGAAAGTTATGTGGAATGAAAAGTGTGGAAGAAAAAGGTGCACAAGCAGATGGGATGACCGCAGCCTGGAGAGGAGTGTCAGGAAAAGGCCATTCAAATGTGTTGGGGACTTTCACAAGGAGTGGATTGAGTCTGGAGTCAGTGCATCAAGAGCCACCACACAGACGGATCCTGGACATTGGCTTCAGATGTCGTATTTCTCTTGTCAAGCTGCTCCCTAACAAACAACGTCAGAAGCAGCTTACCTGGGTTAAAGAGAAACAGACCTGGTCTGTTGCTCAGTGGTCCAAAGTCCTCTTTTCTGATGAAAGCTACTTTTGCATCTCATTTGGAAACCAAGGACCCAGAGTCTGGATGAATAATGGAGAGGCACACACTGCAAGATGCTTGAAGTCCAGTGTGAAGTTTCCACAGTCTGTGTTGATTTGGGGAGCCATGTCATCTGCTGGTATTTGTCCACTGTGCTTCATTAAGTCCAGGATCGCAGCTGTGACAGAACCATCTGTATGTCTATTGTGGTGGATTTGTCTATTTTGCCCCTTTCGTGTAAATGGCTGTTCTATAGCCCAGCCATACGAATGACTTTGTTTTACTGAACAAACCTACCGAACGGATGGCCACCCAGGATAGAAGTGTGCTGCCGGTTAACCTCTTGATCCCAATTAGAACATTGTGGTTAACCGCAGACACGTCTCTTAAAAATCTAATTCAGGGTGGCCGTCGTTCGCATGTCTACCATGAGGCAGCGGCCATTTTAAAACACACGAAAGACCAGCGGTGTTTGGCAGTGATTTCATGGAACTAAAAATGGACACTTTTTCTGCCCAACACTGCTGAAACAACAGGTCGCCCTACTCAATCGACGAAAGCATGCGAACACTGGCCGTTCGGAATCACACGAAAAGACTTAACCCAGATAGCCTTCCCATGGAGTCAATCGCATACCAAAAGACTAAGAACTTTTACTCAATGGCGATTGAACTATGCGTATGGGATCTGAGCGCTATTCGCTAATAATATGCCCTCAGATCCAGGCTATCTGGGGATATGTGATACGAAGGTGAAATGTTCAGTAGTTGTGGAATTATATATTTGTGTGTTTTCTGGTATTTTATTTAAGATGGCGATTTGTCTTTGTCCTGGAGATAATTGAATTACTTCTCAATTATCTCCAGGGCAGAGGGGAGGAAACCATATTACATTGTGGGAAAAGTTTACATCTGTATGTCTGAGATGTCCCCATGTCTGTCATTACAGTCTCCCATTTTGTCCCCTAGGGGAGTGTCCACCAAGTGGGAGACCTGCATAAATACGTGCGGGTAGCCCACTGTAGTGTATGGCCCTGTGTTGTCCTGAGCAATTCATGTATTTCCATGCATTCGTGTGTAAATGGCAAAGTCTATGTATTGGATTCGTCTGAATGTTAGGTAGTTTCATTCCCTTAGTTTGTTCGAATGAAACTACTGAACAATCAGACCTCCCATGTGTGAAGTGTGTTCTCAATTACCCGTTGCAACATTGTTGCGAACGGGTAATTGGCAAGTGAAGTAGCCGTCCTTTGTTCTCGGGGGTGGCCATTTTAAAACTCCCGAACAGCGGTGTTTAGCCGTCGAGTGTCTGGAACTCAAATCGGACACTCGAATAGGTGAACACAGCTGAAACCTCCACGAGCCCGGTCCGTTCGGTTCCTAACTACCGAACGGCCCCTGTTCGGTAGATAGAAAGAACCGAACGAGGGGATTCAGGCGAACCCTCCCTAGCCTCTATAGCTAGAGGCTTTCGTGCAGTTTGTTCCCTTATTCCAGGACCGACTGCAGGGCCCATTCGCATGGAACCGCATTCGGCTGTCTCAGTCAGTGCGGTCGGTCATTTTATTCCCTCCATAGATTTCCAGAACCCCTGGTCTGATCTGGGTGATTTTTGGATATGTTGTTCACCCAGATCAGAGCCATCAGGGGGTGTAGGATTTAAAGGGGTACCCCTACGTTTAGGGGTACATCCAGAAACAGGGGGAATTACTGTACTGGATAAGGGGATTATGATGCTGGTTGAGGGGAGGAGATGTGTGGGAGGTTACCAGGACGGGATTGGCTACTGTAGTAATGATTGTAAATTTGATCTGGAGATACAGAATATCAAAACAAAGAATCGATCTGAATTTCTAATAGATAGACAAAAAGGGAATCACAATAAAGGAAAGTTCGAATTTGCATTCACAACAAAATACAACACACATGCAAAAAAGATCGAAAATATTTTAAAAAAACATTGGGCAATCCTTAAACAGGACGAAGTGCTAGGCCAGGTTTTACCAAACAAACCCCTGGTCATATATAAGAAAGCCGATAATTTAAAATCTCAACTGGCCCCCAGCCTTTTATATACTAATAAACCAAAGAAACATTTTTTGGAATCATCAAAAACTCCAGGTTTCCATAAATGTGGAAAGTGTTCCACATGTATAAACTTAGACAAAAAGATTGTCGATTTCAAAGGCACATACACCCAAAAAACATATCAAATTAAAAATTTTTTACATTGTACCACTACATATGCCATATATCTGCTCCAATGTGGATGTGGGGCACAATATGTAGGTAGGACTACCCGTCAACTACATATTAGGTTCAGAGAACATTTCCTTAATATAAGAAACAAAAAAATGGATCACAGTGTACCTAGACACTGTAACACATGTAGTTCTTTTGAATGGTCCACCTTTCGTGCCTTTGGAATCGATAGGATAGATGTACACTGGAGGGGAGGTAACAGAATGCAAGAGCTAATTAAAAAAGAAGCAGAATGGATATACAATTTAAGAACACTTAAAACCGGTTTAAATCAAGATATTGATTTAACTGGTCTAATTTAATGATATACAAATTAATCCAATAATTATCCTTCTTCCAAAATTTCTTTTTCTCTTTTCTATATCCTGGTCTTATTGATAGTAGTTTGAAATTTGTCTATATTTACCTATATAAGTTCCACATCTGGATATATTGTATTATATGTACTATATGGATATTAATGCTTATCTCTATCTTATAGATGGATGTTGAACTCATTACACTTTATATTTGCATATTATCTAGTTGTATTTATTTAATTATTGTATTTGAGAGTGCTATATTATGCAAAAAAAAAAAAAAATATATATTTTGTAGAATATATATATATATATATATATATACACACACACACACACTATCTTTGATATATGTTCAGTTATTATTAATATTTGTACATCTGTTCCCATTGTACATTGGATTGGGCTACAATGATATTATACATTTGTTTTTTCAAATTTGTACCCTTTTGGGGTTTCATGTATATAACAATCATGCATTCTGATATTACAGAATATACATTGTACTATTACTCCTTTTTTATAATGTCTTACATGTCATGTTTTAAATATGACATGTTTTAATCTGGTCCATATTATACAACATCCATTTAGTCCTTTATAGTTATTCTTTTTTATTTTATGCAGATTTTTAATGCTTTATTATTTTCATGGCATACAGACTTCTTTTTCTGTCCCATATTTGTATAATGAGAACTGATTGTTGCCCCAGAGGGGAAGCCTTTTCTGCTGCACTTCTATTAGTGCTAGCAGAAGAGGGCTCCCCTCGATCGGATTAGATCCGAAACCGGAAGTGACGCTATGCGTTCCAAGGTGGAACGCAGGTAGTCTAAGGGCCGAAAACCGGAAGTAACGTGAATTTCCCCGCGAATTTGAAAATTGGCATGATATATAAACCATGAAGATAACACATCTATATCCCTGAGGAAGTCACCATAGTGACGAAACGCGTTGGATACTACTTTTGGACTTTTTATGCTAATATACAGCTGTTATTATAGTCCATTTGTTATTTTTATTTATTTTATTTTATATTTTTTTAATTTTGTGTACCTCCATTTTGGGATCTCTCTCTTTCACCTGGAGACCCGGCCATTACTTCATTATGGAGATATGCTGTCTTACTTCTGATTTCTTGTAAGTGCAATATTTGGAATAAATTTTGTTATTTTTATACAATCTGCACTATATATTTTTTCTTTTGTTCCTGAGCTGAAGGAAAAAGGGATATTTTATTCCTGAGCTGAAGAAAAAGTGATATTGTCAGTCCTCGCCATATATATTCGGTCTCCAATGTGGAAAGTACCCCTGACAGGATGACAGGATGACAGGATGACAGGCGTGATTACTACTCCCTTCTTGTAAGTTTTCTACCACGTGCAAATCCAATTTTGCCTAACTTACTTCACTATATTTTGTATTTTGCTATTTTATAGATTCCACGTTCATTTTCAGCCATATTCAGGTTGTATTGTTCTCAACCACCCTCTATTTGTATATATCACCTTTGGGTTTTTATATATACGTCCTTGTGTTTATTCTTTATAGTGTGTGTGAGGTACACTTCTCTGAGGGTGTGTTTTTCTAGTGTATCATATAGTAAGCATATCCTTTTTTGTATGATTGTAAATCCCTCCCTTGCATGGGAGCATGCTTTAAAAGGACAGTGTGGATTAAAGATTTCAGTTCTGCTCCTGAAACGGTGTGTTGTCCAGTTATTGGGATTGCTGTTGG